TGGGCTGCCCAATATTAGCAAGAGCAGTGGCATACTTTTGTGCTCTAGTGAGATAGGCAGCAGAAGTCTCATCACCCTTCATTTGTATCTTCAACAATTGTGTTTTAACAGAAATTCCCTTGATGACATGTTAGGGGCATAAGCACATTCAAGGGTCATGTTGGAATGATGCTTCTGATATGGTTGACATGAGGAGCATACGAACATGTGCATCATTTGAGATCTAGATTGAATGACTAGGATTGGATGTATTAGTAATGGGATTTCCTTCTTTACCTGGTGTTGTGACCAGAGGTGCAGGGCATGGGTTTGTGCCATCAACATAGCCAAAAAGATTGTTGGTGATGGGAAACGGTTGAATCATAGCCTTCCAATATCCATAGTTTGTAGGAGAAAGGATGAAACCAAACTTATGGGAGTTGTGAGATGTCTTTTCTGCTGAAGAGAATGTAGTGAGAGTAGTCATGATGAAGAGAAGTAGCGGAAAAAGGTAGTGGGCAACAGTTGGTAGGCGGCATCAGCGGGGAGGCAGGTGACGGCTGGATTAGGGTTAGGGTTAGGGCTAGGATAGGAGGTGCCGATTTTTAGAGAGACGATTATTGGCTCTGATACCAAGTTAAACTTGGTAATTGTATATTGTATTCATCAATGGAAAATATTACAGAGTATATATAGACTACACATTTACACAAAGGACCCTCTAATATAAACATTTATCTAACAAGTATGATGATATATTAGGCTTAGAATTGAAACTACATTGTTGTTTTATTATATAATACATTGATGCCATTTGAATTAATACAAACACATAGAACACACAAACATACACAAAACACACACACAACACACAAAATCATAAATATCCTACATGATGAACAAAGTTAATTAATAAGCACACATCATTTGGGTTTTTAAAGTCATTTAAAAAATAAAAAACAAATAATCAAGAGAGAAGAATCCCATTGACTTATCTGACTTACTGAACTTCTCTGCAGATGAATGGTGGAATTAGCTTGATATAATTGAAAAAATATGGATGCTTGAAAGGGAAAATGTAAAACGTCAGGCTATGTTTTGTGATGAGGCGTATATCTTCTCTTTTCTTCTAATAAAAGACTCCTACATATGCCACATGTCCCTTTTTTACACCATTTCTTTGCCACGTGGCATGATAATATTCACTACTCTTTTGATTTCCCGCTCATTCACACTCCATCGTTATACGTAGCAACAATTATCCCAATCAATAACCGTGATTCATATCCCAAAAAATTAGGTTAGAAATTTGAATTTCATATATTAGCCAAGAAATCAAGGATTCTAATCTTATCTATATTTAAAATGGATGAGAACGTTTCCGTTTCATATATACCTACATCCAAGATTTCTTATATACCCATCGTTTTGATTCTGCTATACCGAGGGTGATCATTCTCCAGGTATGTAATAATTCCTATCTTATTTTTGTATATCTCCCCAACCTAGGGCTTTTAGTTCCTTCTCCAATCCTTCCAGTCGCCTCCTTCCTTGCATCTACATTCTTGCCTCCTTTCCAATTCGTTACCTATTGCTCGAAAAACACGCGGTCGATTGATTATAAGGTTCATCAAAAACTTTGAATCACTTCTCATTTGGTTCTTTGTTTTTTTTACATCTTTTTCAGTTTTTTCGTTTTTAGCAGTCATTTTTGTGTTTTTGAAGGAACCGGGGGGATATGAGTGATAGGTTCTTTGTGCTACAACGATGGTTTTGAAGTCACCCTTAGTCCCTACAAAAACTTGATTTAAGAAGGTAAGAAGGTTAATGTTCTTAAAAATTTTCTAATTATTGTTTAGTTTTTTTGGTTTAGTTTTATTCAAAACAAAGTAACGGAAAAGAAATCGTGGTCTCTCTCTTTCTCTCTACTGTCTTTATGTGTGTGTGTGTGTGTGTGTGTTTAGCTATATAAGTGTTGATTTCGTGGATCTGGATCAAATCACCATTGTGACACCGTAAACTCCATGTGCTCTTCCTCTGCTTCTAACCTTAATTTGTATTTTTTAGTAAAGTATTAAAAATAGTAGAGGTTCTACAGATAGCGGATAGAAGTAGTGGTTCGATATATGTGCAGTGATTTGTGATTTTGGAAGGTATAGTTTATTAATTTTCGCTTTGGTCGTCAATTGAAGATGTAGTAGTTCAATAACATTATTGGTTCCTATTGAAATTTTTAATAGCTCTTTTGATAAGGTTTTAGGATTAAAAACAATTAGAGCATGTATTACTTTATTTGTGTGTGTGTGGGGGGGGGGGGTAATAATATATTTTACTTTTAGCCATTGTAAATGTTTTCAATATGCAGGCTTAAATGGCCTTTTTTTACTGTAGTGGTGGAAACCTCAGTAGCTAAGAATGCTTAGGAGCATTCCCTTATAGGGTATATATATAGTTATTGAATTCCTTTAAATATAAATTTCTTTTCAAATTTGAAGTTCAAAATTCATACTTGACAACACTTGACTGAAGAGTATCTAGGACTATGGACTAATTAGTACTTAGTGATTAAATTGACTCTATTTTCTTGACCATATTTCATCATTTTCAGCAGTTCATAAGCAATTAAAATAACATTTTTTTATTAATTACACTGATTTTAAAGTGCAATATGTTGTTGTGACCAAAAGCTTGGTTATCCTCTGTTTTAGTGAATCTTATTAGAATGCTAAGCCTTCCCTTGAATTTACTTTTGACATTAAATATTATTCATCATTTACATTTTCCTCTAATGGGATGCTTCCTTCTAATAAAGATGATGGGCAATAAAGATAAATTTGACATTTTTATAAAGTTGATGAAAGTAAAGATGAATTTGATTATTTCAATAAATAAGTAATGATTAGGTAGTTGGTTGTTTGAATGAGTCTGTAATCTGATTATTTGACTGCTACTTTCCTTTATATGATTACAGGTTGTAAGAGTGTCTTTTGTATGCACAACAGCTTACCTTCAGCCACACACACAACAGTACATATACACACAACCATTTGCTTCATTTCCAAAATTTAATTGTTGAAGGCTTGAGGGTATTGATTCCCTCTTGAGGAGAAGTTTTTAAGGAACAACTTTATGCCCAACATCAACTATGGATTAGATTTGTTAATAGAGATTGGACTTACATGTGAAACTGACATGGCGGTTAAAGATCTTTCCTAAACTATATTCCTTTCAGACCATCATATTTAGCTTTTGGTTGCAAACTAAATAAAGTAACAATTATAAAATACATGTCGGTTGCCATCTTGAAACAGTGGAATACAATAGTGTGTGTAAGTTTGGTTACATTTTAGTTGGCTTCTTTTTTTGGTTTCTTTTGTTGATGTTTATAGGTGAATGGGTTTCCTGGTAAAAGTAGAGGAGGATTTGGATTATTTTAGGTTCGATGGGGATGGCGGGAAGTAATATAATTCTAAGGAAAAAAAGGTCAAATTTTTAATTCAAAAAATGTAACAAATAGACATTTTGATTTAATATACAAGGACCAAAACAAAAGTAACATACAAGTGTAGGGATAATTTTGTGATAAAATGAAATTTGGAACAAATGTGCAATTATAGATAAACCATAACGAAATAGGTAATTTACTCATTTGTTTATTATAACCTTCAGCTTGAAGTAGCAATATAGGTACTTGCTTGACTTTTGAGTCCGAAGTGTTGTATTATACAGTTTTTGTGTAAAATAAAAAAATTAATAATTGTGAGGAATAAACTATGTAAAATGTTTTTGTAGGATTTCGAACATTTGTAGCATTCTATTTTGTAAAATGTTTTTTTTTGTGAGGATCTCGAATATAGAGTGGAAAAAAACATTTTTTGGTATAACATTTTACTTTCTTAAATTATCATTTATAGCATCGTACTTTGTAAAAAGGTCCCCCTATGAGGATTTCGAATATGGAGTGAGAAATTAAAAAAAAACATTCTACCTTGTAAAAGGGTCCTTTTTTTTTGAAGATTTTAATCACCTTCGCGAAACTACTAAAGAGAAGGCTAACAGTCTTTAGCGCAACTTATTAAGGATTTCCCAACGAAAAGGCTTTGTTGGAAAAATAAATAAATAAAAACATTTCCTTATATGACATTCTATTTTCTGGAAACTGTTATTCTATTTTCTAGAAACTGTTATTTATGTATTGAAAAATAAATAATAAACATTTTCTAAATTTGTTAACCGTGTAGTACACGGATTTTAACCTAGTAATCTCATAAACGTAAAGGGATAATGAAGGAAATAGAGTGAAAAATGATCAACTTACCAAAAATTTGGTAACTATATAGCCTGACTAAAAGGGATAATGAAGGAAAATTTTTAAAATGCAACCAACATATCCAGAAATTTTTAATTTTAATAACTATACGGTATCAATCACTAATAAAAGAATTATTTCCAAAATTATCCTTAATTTTCTCTTGGGCAGAAAATGAATAAAAGATGTATAAGAAATTGCCATTTATCACAAAATTAGTCTTAAAAAGTCACATGTGGCAAAATAAAGGTTTAGAAGATGACATGTGGCATGATTATGATTCTTTTGTTAGAAAGGTAGATAGATATCTTAATACGTTAAACCAAGTTTTTATTTAGCTCAACTCAATAAGCCATTTTGTACTAACTAAATGAAACATACATAATTCAGCTTATTAAGGTCTTTTTGTTCGATTTTTCTTTGAAAGGTGACACTTTTATTTCTACATCATTCATGCATAAACAAGGTCACATATCGATAGTATCCTTCTAAAAGTGACAAATTTTTTTCTATATATAGTATATATCCATTATCCTTCAACCCAAAATGTCACATATCGATAATATCCATGACACAAAAATCATGTATTTTTATTCACATTTTTAACAAGAATATGAAAACAAAATCAAACATAACATGGCAAAAAAATTTATCTATACATGATCTACAAACTTCATGTTAAAACTGTCACGTGGCCAAAATGTTCTCATCTCTAATCATTGAGCAAATTCGTTGGCTCACTCAAAACATACTTCGGTAACTCGTATCTCGCACCTATAAATAATAAAATCCCCCCGTTTATTACACACTAAAAGTAAAAGACTGTGAACATGACTGTGATCGATGTCAATAGAACAATAATTTCAACTTTTGTCTCATCCAAAAAAGTAGGACAATGTGGATTGTCAGTGCAAAAAGACAAGAATGCCCACCTCGTCTTATTATAAAAATAGGCGTACAAAGTTTGTCCAGTAGTGTTGTCCCATGTAACAAACGCAGTCTAACTCACCTTTTTCATCATAGCAAATCGTCAAGTCCGGCTCGTGAACGATAATTCCCGCACTATCGATTATTGTTTGTGCTAAGTGTAACTCCGCCTCCGTGGCTGCTCGAAGTGCATCCCAAATCTCTAATAAATAATAAAGAAATATAATAAAATACCAAAAAAATATTAAAGAAATATATATTTCTTAAAAATTAGAGATGAAAATTACCTCTTTTGCCACCATAAAATGGAGTGGTGTCCCAAAACTCGTCACGCATTTTATTAAGTTGGTCACGATTGATCGATTCGGTGTGGCTCCAAGGCATTGGCTTTGTGATTGTGATTTGTCTACTATTACGTCCTACAAGAAATAGCAATTTTATTTTTATTGTAACGTAGAATATAGAATCACTTTATATTAGGATTACATTGTTAGTGAGATGTTATGGTAAACAAATCAATAGAAGTACATATAGCTATTTCTTGAATCTATCTCAAATTGGAACAAAACAAAAATCAACTAGATCAAGTCCATCAACAACAATCACATAAAATAATGAATTATTATAAACCAAGTAACACAATCAACCTAAATTACCAAAAGATATTTGCATCAACAATTTGTAGATAAACTAGTTATTGTACATATTTTTTGAGAATAAACAAAACTAGACAATCATTGGATCAAAATTTGATTAGTAATGACAATTTCTAATATGGCCTTAGAACAGATAAATCATCGATTTGATATGAATTTGAAGAACCACAAAAAATCAAGAAATTAAATGCAAAAAACCACCCAATGCCAAAATCAGATTCATGGTATTAAAACAATTACCCTACAAAAACAGCCATTAGCGACACCAAGAGTTCAGAAAGCCCCTTAAAGATCAAACACAGTAAACAAAACCCTAATTAACCACTCAACTGACCCAAATCACTTCATGTTAAGCAGCAATTTCAAATACCGATTTCGAACATGCAAGAATCGATCAAACACATATAACCCACATCATGAATAAATCCTTTCACATCCTGAAATCTACGAAAGATTTGTAAAAAAACCCATGAAAGAACTTGGAGAATTAGAATACTTACGACCACTACTGTTATTCGATGACTTAGCACAACCCATTGTGATTGATCTCTCTATAAATCTTCGGGTGCGAGTTGTATTGAAATGTTGCTTGATTCTTGTGAATGCACAAAAGCTTCTGCTAAAACTTCTTGAAAAGAAAGATGAGTCTGCCAGAATCTGTTTACGAACCCTTATGAATCAATAGTTTGGTTGGTGAATGATGTATGCAAAGAAGGGAGAAGGAAGAAAAATGGTAGTTGCTGCAAATATTTGATAATGTGAACGATGCAAAAGTTTATGAATGACGCTAAAATGGGTCGGACCCCTTGACCCATAAACATTTTTTTTAATTACTATTTACCATAGAATATGAACAAATGTAATATTCTTGAGAAAATAACATGAAAAAAAAAAAAAAACCATCAAAAATACAAAATTGGTCATAAAATCGCTTCTATATTTTTTTAAAAAATTATCAAAAATGTAAATTAATATTAATAAATATAAATTAATTTTGGTTGCAATCGTTATACATGCCCGCGAAATATTTGCAACTCAATCCCCCATCTCTCTCTTCAAACTAACAACTTTCAAATACTTGCAGAGTGAGTTCGTTACTATTAGACGCATCTCTGAATCTTCCCTTTTCTTCTAACACCGATTACTGATTCAAATCATTCGATCATTCTTTCATCAACAGATTCCGGTAGACCCACTACAATTTTCCATGAATTTTTAGCAGAAACTCTTCTGCGTTCTCAAGAATCAAACGCCATTTCACTACACCTCGCATCAGAAGATTCACAACAGCGATCATTCGTAATGGGTTGTGCTAAATCATCGGAAGCTGATGAACGCCGTAAGTATTCCAATTTTTCAAGCGTCCAATCGCTTTTCTTTAAACTTTTTGATGATTTTATGACGTGAAATGATGGCAATATGTATCTCAATCGACTCTTGCTTATTTGTTTTTGGGTATTTGAATATGTTGACAAAAATGAAGTGATTAATGTGATTCGATTTTGGCATTCTTCGTTTTTTGGGAGGTTCTTGAAATTCTTAAACGAAATGGTTTTCTTCCAATTTCTGATTCCGTAATTAAACCTAATTTTCTTCAATCGTTTGTTCCTTCTAACTTGAATCGATGAAATAAAAAGGGTTTTCCGATCAATTTTTCCGGTGTTCTTGCAGAAGGTGGTGGTAACAGACTAAGAAGACCCAGGCCATGGCGACACGAGGGCAATCGAGTTTCATGGAGTGAGCTTCACGAGATGCGCACCACTTTCTGGCGTAATGCCCCACGTTACGCCGGCCGAGCAGGTAGTTTCCGGCCACCATTGATCGGAATGCTAAACCCTTTTTCATTTTCCCGCTTTAATTAATAAACAAACTAATTAATTAAGTTATTTCGTTTTTTGTGTTTTCCAGCAATTTGGGAAGCCCTTGAAGCAGCAGCTGAGTGCGACTTAACCTATGCACAAAGAATTCTCGACAGCAATAGCATTAGATATCCAAATGGTGACATGACACTTTGCATTGATGATGAAGGTATATTCACTGTATTATGTACATGACATGACAGATCAGACCAGAACAATATACTAATATGAACCGGATATGAGAACAATTTTTTTTTTCGACTAATAATATGAAACTAGATGGGAATTGTTTGTGCAAAAGACATAAATGTCATTGTGATCTTTATCATGTAAAGTAACCCTAGACAGTTACTTTTATATTTTTACAGGTACAAGGTATGAGTTACCGCCATACCTTTTGAGTGAGCCGACAAATATGGACCGTGGTGCTGCAAACATGATTGGTCGCATTTTAAGGAGGTAATCGTGTTGATGATAAATGATAGTTTTAGCATGAAGATTGTATATCATGTGTATACATTTTGTTAGTTATTGTTTCGCTATTCTTGATGAAAATGTATGATGTATATGGTACCATGGATTCTATCGATTTGTGAGACAATGAATATTGGATATACAATGATATTACACTTGGGTCATACTTTATCGGTTAGATTCGGTTATAAAAATATAACCTAGTTATAAGTCTTGTTTAGATATTCTGGTTTTGATTTTGGTTATAAAATTATACCATGGGTATTTTACATTTGAGTATAAAACATTAAAATCTAACATTTTCTGTGAAATATGGAACAACAAAAATGTCATATATCGAAATATGCGACAAGAAAATGTCATAGTATGATAGTTTGTTCACACTTCCAATAAGAATATCGAAGCAAAACTAAACAAAATGTGATAACAAAAAGTATTTACACGATTTACAATCTTTGTACTAAAATTGGGGTATCCCTATTCTTGTCATCTATAGCCAGAGATCAAATTATTCTTTCTTGTTTACCCAC